ATATGCCAACACTGCCCCTAGCAACTTTAACTAATTTGAATAACACAAACAGTATATCACTGTGTCACATGACACACGCATTGAGGTAGACCTGATTAATATATTTTGGTAATTACTTTTTTGTTGTTCCGTGCTCTCTGTTTTCGTTTTAATTTCTCTAGTTGTAGATAATTATCATTAGTTCGATCTGGCACACGAATTCACCTTAATTACACCGTTCATAAATCAACAGGCTGTCGATTTAAGAAATATTAAAAATTCCCGGCTGATGCTTTGGATCGCTGTAATATATGTACTACTTAAACAATTACTGAACTAGTATACTTAAAACTTTCTTTTACCACATGTTTGTTTTCTGCACGTTTCACGTTATTACTTATATCAAATTGATCATGCCTGTAAACTGGCGTCAATTCTGTAATTATTATTTTTCAGAATATAAATTTATTATTATTATCATCATTATTATTACTGGGATATTGTGATACTTCATGACCAAGTCAGTTTCAATAAATATGTCCATACACTGTAAGCCGTTTGTAAAATCCTGAATATGGGTTATTGGGTACCTATCTGGTTCGGTTTTTCGTATCCATCCTTGTTTTAGGATTGCTTCACCCACAATATTGCCGCCCTCTAGGAATTGGAGGTGACGTAAGAAATTTGGTGACCTATCACCCAATGTTTCTCCCTGTAAAAGACTTTAGGCTCATCATCTGTCTGATAAAGATAGACGGTTCATTATCTCACGTCTACAAATGGTGTGTGATTGTGACGTTTAGGGACTCAAAACTAAGTTGCGGACTTCTATAGGAACTAAAGGGGGGAGGACTGAGCATATATATTGGTACCCAATCTCTTCATATTGAATATTGTGCCTCGTGCAATAATGCTCTAGTTGAGAAAACCACAACTCAGGGTCACTACGATCAAATTCTGGAAGTCAAGCTTTCTTAGTCATAACAGTGACTATTTCTACTGGAGACAAATTATACTTATCTTTCGGGCTTTTAATCTGTATTGAGTCTGACATATGGCATATAACGAATGTATTATTGACATAAAAACGGGGGGAAAAATAATCCTGGCACTAATACTGTGCGATAATCTATAGAAAGTGTTGAATGTTATTTCAGTTATTCTCTTTATCAAGCATTGTTGAATGTATGAATGAATGAATAAACAACCAATTGATAATCTGTCGCTATACTTTATTTATAATGAACTATTAGAACCTGATTGTAACATTCCAAGTTACACATTTATATTGAGAAAGTACTTGTTCAAGCTTTATGTTTAGGTTATTGAATTTTATCGTGAACATTTTAAATGAACACCCACCAATCATGTTTTCATGACTAAAATAGTGAAGTGATGCAGATCTGTTAGTATTTGCAAACGATTCAACCATTCATATATGAGATAGCATCAATTCAATTTTGATTGGTCAGTAATAGTGAATATATAAGTACAAATCGCGCTTACACAGTCGAACTAGAAAGAGTCATGAAATGTTCCATAACTTGTTTTCTATACTTATTGTTTATTGTAGTTTATTATATTTCTAAATGTCATTCCATAGTTCCTAAAGCTTATAAACATCATAAGACAGGAATTTATCATAATCTTGTTGAAGTGTTGACGTACAATCATTCATACAAAAGCTGTTATATTTTAACGGAAGCATTAAAACGTTTTGAAGAACGTCTCACATTAATAAAACAATATCCTAAAGTTCCTATTTGTTTACCAAATTCTACAATCGATACCATCAAAATATCAATCACTAGGGGATGTAACGAGTCAAATGGTGAATTATGGCCTTCTGAATCAATCATTGAGACGTGTATGTTATTTTATTCAACGAAATTATTATATCACAGATTCACTTTTTATTTTCAGTAAGAGAATAATCTTAAAATCCGAAGAAATCTGGGTAATATTACATAGATTAGAAACAATACTTCCGTTAATTTACAGAAGTCCACTAAAGAGAGTAATGTGAAATTAGATAATCATTAATTTATTTTTGTTAGAACATGATTGAAGGTGGTCTCATTTGGGATGAACCATCATTTCCCCATAGAGGATTTTTAATTGATACATCTAGACATTATTTATCATTGAAAGAGATTGAGAAATTCCTTGTAAGTATAAAATATTATCTGAAGAAATTTTTAATATTTATGTTTAATATCTACACACTTATAACTCTCATTAAAGTATAACTAAACTTATTGAAACACTCATATTAACTAGATTGTATGAAATGATTAATCTAGCTACTATTAGTCAAACGTTATATGTGTGGCTCGATTTCGTGGATTAGTTGAAAATAGACATTAACACCGTTGGTTGCTGGCCGAATCAGTGGTCTTATGGTTAAGTGCTCGCGTGCGCAAAACCAGTAGGTCCTGAGTTCGAATCTCGCAGGAGAGCAGGTCGTGGATGTGAACTCCCACTGAGGAGTTCCACAATAGGACAAAATGGCTGTCCAGTGCTTCCAGGTTTTCCATAGTGGTCTAGCTACAACTGACTCATGATTTCAATCAGAAAATAATAATTGGGAAAAAGGATTGCATAATATTGAAAAAAAAATGAAATGTATTAAGAGAGGGCATAGAAAGGAAATAATTCGGTTGAGAGAAAAATGTCACTAGTGAAGCAGATGGAGAGGGAAACTAATTTTGAAAATTAAAACCAAACACGAATAGGTTGAACAGGTTTCTTTTGTTTACATAGGTTGGGTTTTTCTAAATGTGTCACAATGGCTCCAGTAATGTTTAGAAAACAGGAGCTTGACGTATTTAGAAAGTTTTTGTTCACCTTTTACATGATTTGGATCCCTGAGCCTGCTGTGATCTGATGATCCATATTCATAATTTCTTCAATTATGTGGTGCCTCATTGATCCACTTCTGCTTATTTTCGACTATACTAGATAATGTCCTTCAATCTTCTTGAGAAAAACTTACATCAAGCAACCCGTATTACCCGTATTACAGACTAGGCCTCCAGTCGTCAAGGTGATGAAATTACTATGAAATGATTGGTTATATATATCTCTTAGGAGATGTTGAGACTGTTCTGAGGATTTCATGCCTTCAATGAAATTTAAATGTGCAGTTTGAGAATATTTATCTACATTTTTAAGACATTTTCAATATAATGTTCATACGGATTAGACATCAGAGTGCATAACATGTTTATGACATAATCTACTTTAGTAACAGAATGTATAAATGGATATAATTATAAATCAAATAATATAATTGTAATATCTTAATGAGTAGAAAACCAAATTTTCTGACGTTCCGTGACTCAATGTAATCCACCTCTTTAAAGATTGAATAACGAAATTAAAATTCATTCAAGTTTAAATAGTACAAAAACTTGGATGAATTTTGATTTGGTTATTTATTCTTTGAAGAAGTGACTTACATTAAGTGACTAAACGTTAGAAAATGTGATTCCCTATTCATTGTGATATTACAATTACTTTCTTACTTACTTACGCCTGTTACTCCTAATGGATCATAGGCCACCGACCAGCATTCTTCAACCCACTCTGTCCAGGGCCTTCTCTCCTAGTTCCATCCAATTCTTGTTCATTCTTCTCATGTCTGTCTCCATTTCCCGGCGAATTGTGTTATTTGGTCTTCCTCTTCTCCTTTAGCTTTGAGGGTTCCAGGTGAGGGCTTGTCTTGTGACGCAGTTGGGTGCTTTCCTCAATGTGTGTCCTATCCACTTCCAGCTATTCTTCTTAATTTTTTTCTCCGTTGGGATCTGGTTTGTTCTCTCCCACAGTAGGTTGTTGCTAATAGTGTCCGGCCAACGGATCCGAAGTATTTTGCATAGACCAGGTTTCCGCCTCATACAGTAGAACTGTCTTGACATTTGTATTGAGAATCCTGACCTTGGTGTTGGTTGAGAGTCGATATTACAATTATACCCAGTGCTCAATTTATCATAAATTATCAAGACATGCCTTGAACGTAGTTATATTTTATGTGTCACTTTTGAAATTAAGGGTAAGAACGTTATGTGATGTTCATTATAGTGTCAAATTGTGGATCTCAATAGTCGACAAACTCTGTTCTGGCTATCTGACCCATCTAGCTATTTCAAACAATCACATAGTTTGTGCTAATAAATAAGTTCTTTATAATCGATAATTACGTTTGATCAACAATAAGGAATCACGAAGACATCTTATATATCCTTTAGTAATCAAATTTGGCTTCAATCCGTCATAATAAATCCTCAATAAGTTTCATTTACATGATTAAAATTCATACTTTGGTTACTTTTATACTTTAAAGGATTCAATGTCAATGGTGAAAATGAATGTACTTCATTGGCATATTGTGGGCGATCAATCTTTTCCCTATGTATCTGAAACGTTTCCGAAACTTTCTTCAAAGTTTAAGAGAAAGATTTTCGAATACGTGTTTATCTGAGTATGGACAGTTTTTTAAGACGGTGGTTGGAGGTAGTCAACAGAAAACCCTGAACCCGGGTTTCGTGCTACTTGACACTCGTCAGCAAGGTGTACCTGTTCTTGTGGGAACTGATACTACCTAGCGGATTCGATCTCGTGTCACCCAGCTTCATAGTCTAACCTAACCACAGGGAGCATCAGTTCCCTCAAGATAACACGTACACCTTGCTGACAAGTGTCAAATAGCACGAAACACGAGTTCGGGGTTTTCTGCTGACTACCTCCAACCACTATCTTATCTCAACATAGTGTACGCAATGTCGAGTCACCTAAACTAGTGGCCACATTGCAATTTGGTCGATAGCATTCGATCTGCACTGAGAAGGACTTGACACACATGACATTTATCACCATCCAGTGACCAATCAATTGTGAGCAATGCTTTTTTATTTGAGGATTTTTAACTTTAAACTACAGAGCATTGTTTTTAAAAATACAATTTATTCTTTTTTTTTAACTAATCTTATATATTTGAAATTCTTTCATACGTTTAATTTCAGCGAGCATTTCACCCGTATCTTTTAATCTATACGCCGAACGATGTGAAATATTTATTAAATTATGCTCGTTTACTAGGAATAAGAATAATGCCAGAATTTGATACACCAGGTAGGAAAAGTTATTAAATAGTTATGAAATTTCAATGATTACCATCTATGATCACTAATATTCTAGAGTGTTTAGTGTCCGTGTTAAGTTTTATCAATAGTTTATTTGAAATTGTGTTGATCACGATAGTAAGCGGAGTTAAGCAAGTTGTGTTTGATATCAAGAGTATTGTACTATTTGGTATGAATGTCGCCCCCATCGTTTGAAGGATTGGAAGCCTGATAACCTTTGATAAATATCTCTCAACACTTCAGATGACTAGGACTGATTAATTAATGGTGGTTTTATGGTTCGTTGAAACTAGATGGAATAAGAACAAACTGTCGATATTTCTAAACACATCTTTGCATAGTCAAGCTGTGAAGTGTTCAGAGGAATAAGAAAGCGAATTCCTCGAACGCAAGGAAAAAATCTGTGCTTCAAATAATAGTTTGAAATGATAAATTTAAAAATTGAATTGTGTAAATATTGTAATCTCGATTTTGCCATCAAATGAGTATGACATATCGTCGTTACTTTTGTATTGAATTTCTATGATCCATTCTGTGTGACTTATTTCTCTGGTTCCTTGGCATTTACTCTATGACTTCATAAGTTAAATAATAATAATCATCGAGTATTGATTTTAGTTAGCTTACTGAATTTAGCCAACTGAAATCCTTGCTTTACTTAAAATTCATAATTCTTGGCATTCATAAAAGTAAAAAGGTTTTATGCTTATAGAAAAACAAGTACGGATTTTCCATTGAACTACTATGGAACACTATTTCAAGTATGTGATCAAATCAGCGGTAAAGTATTCAAGCTTATGAGTGCCAACAAACATTTCATTTAGTCTGAATTTACGAGTGTACTATGGTAAATGACTTGCAGTTTCGTATTTCCGAATAGCCGATACTCTTCAGAAGCCTCATTTAGATTGTTTATTTCAGAATAATTCCTTTAGATTGGCAACAATGCATTTATTTCTTTATTTTCATAATACAATAATGACAGTAATCAATTATGCTGCTTTAATATATATATATATATATATATATATATATATATATATATATATATATTCTATACATGGAGATTGTTATATCCTAGTGAAGTTTGAATTACGAGTAACGTCTGAAACCTAATAATCGTTTAATATTATCTATATATTCTTAGGGTATACATATTCAGTAAATGGACTGTAGACATCTATATTCCTCTTATTATAAGCTTCAATTTAACCTATAGATTATTAGTATATGCTATATCGTTCTTAGTTTACGTTCAGTTTATTAATTACCGTCTCCCACGTTCACAGACACATTTTGGCGTTACTGTGTATGAGTGTTATTTTGTATTTTATGCTGCGTTGCAGTCTGTTTGGCTGGTATATAAACCCAGTATGTCTGAAATACATGATTCGCATAATGGATGCTGTTGTTGAACTCAAGTGGATGGGCTTGATAAGCAAGGAAACATTAGGACGCCAGGCTGATTAGACCGGCTGGATGTCATTAATTCAGATAAGTATAAGTGTGAATAAGTCGTATTTTTATTGGCGAATAGATTACCTGATAACAAGCGGCTCATAAAGTCACAATGAATAGTATAAGTCTAGAATAGAAGGATTGTGTAGTGACTAGTGTATGGAAAAGTGAACCCCGCGTAGAATGGCGTTTCATTAGAAATGTTAGTCAAAAAACAAGCAGTCTCTTTATTCATTTCAAGATAGATCAATCGTTCGAATTGACAGTCTGTGAAGAGAAATTATCGATTTATGTTGATTAAGATCATGAACCAATTGATGTAAGATGACCATTGAAAACCTGGAAGCACTGGACGGCCGTCCAGTGTTGCTGGTGATGGTCTAACATCAATCAGTTGATGATCTCAATCGAAAACCTAAAAATCTTCGCAACCCCATACTGATAATGATCGATATATGATTGGATAGAAGAGATTTCATGATTTTTAATGAAAATATGACTGAAGTCAGTTGAATGATTATTGAATTCTAGACTCATCATCACTATAAGTCAAAAATATAATGGTTTACATTTTCAATTCTATCATAAACCATTGGAAACCTTTTATCACAAATTATCTAATTCTTGACATTAATTACATCTCTATAGGCGATCTACACGAAATCCTACCTCATCATTCATTGTACTAATTGGCGTTCATCATCTAGGGTATATGTTCAACTCTGAGAACACTGATATTCTCTGCGTGTTTAAAATAGACATCATATATCCTCATAGTTTGAGATGTGACCATTGACGATATTCACCAAACGATTGATCTTTTGCCAATCTATCAAGTTGTAATTTATTGGTTTAATAGTTTTGAATATTAGTTGCAACTTCATATCTGTTCACTTTTCTCTTGATGACTATCAACCATACTTGTTTTCTGTTTTTCAATTTACATAAGGAATAAGATGAGTCAATTGTCTCCGCGATGTTCTTATATTCCAAGAGAAAAATCTCCATATTCAATATCTAGTCTTGATGAAAATGAAATAGATGAAGTTCGAAAGAATTTAGATCATCTTAAATCATTATTGATACAAGTTAAATGTCAACTCAATTCTTCACCCAATGATGAAGATGATGATGATAATATGATTGATGAAAGATTGTTTCCAAACACTTCTACTGAATTGAGTCTTTTACAGATTACTGAAGAGAATACTGATGAACATGAAGAAAAGATTGATGATTCATGTCGAAATTTGCCTCATTATACTACATTTTCTGTGAAAAAATCACACGAATATGCCGTGAGAAATTGGTTACTATCAAATTTTAATCACATTTAACTACTTATATCGATAATAGTAGTTAGAAACAATTGTGTTAATTAATTTCTGTGACATAAAGATTAAGTTTGTTTTTTTCTTTTTAAGTAAGTGTTTTCTTAAAATATCATTCATCTCATTATAATTAGCATTGGTATGTATGATATTTTTAGAATCAGTTCATCTTAACTTTACTCTTTAATTGTAGGCAATGATGGATGGTGTCTAGCAGTGGCTTCCAGTTTGACGCGCGTTTCGTCCTATTTGGGACTCATCAGCTGGATGTACCTGCATTTCAGAGAGTTGATGTTTGCTCTGGCATTCGATCCCAGTACCATTCACTTCGCACGCCATCACGGTCCGTGTTTGCGTATACGTAACACGTGTCCCAGTGATCTCAACCAATGAAATTTCACTAATCCATCAAATGATTTGTCATCGTTGTCTAGTACTCATTTCCAAATAACTGTATTACTTACTCGGTGGTCCCAGTATATACGATCAATGCTTCAAAGACATTCATGACCGAATATTAGTAACATTATTATCTGAATATTACTGGAGATTAGTTTCAATCTTAGTAGCTCAATATCAGCTTATTTGACAGATATACGGTAATATGAATTCCATTTACTGAGTGAACGTCAATCCCCTCAAGATTTCAGATATGTCATACTGTCAAGTTCTACATATTATAAGTAGTTGGATAATGACGGCCCCTAACTGATTGTCCCCTACTATTTGACATTGTTAAATGATAAATCCATACACATCATATTAAGTGAATATCGAACCAATTAGGAAGGTTGTGCAGTAATTCTAATAGTATTTTATGGAAATTATTCACTTACAAACAGATCACTTAAGCGTAATCCTAGAATGACATAAAAAAGTTAGTGACATATTTTCATAATTAGATAACTACAATGAATAAGGGATATGTTGATATGGAGAGCTAATCAGAAGTAGTCTAAAGCGAAGGTCAACCGATGGCAATCAGCAATGACCTAAAAGAAATTTTTATTTGATTGTCTGTGAAATGGATCAATTTCCTAAGGATTAGAGTGGTATATATATATATATATATGAATGTGAACAGATGCTAGTTTTTCTTGATTAAAAAGCAGCATTTCACTCCGTGGATAGAGAAGTGCGGTGACAGTATCTGCCATTGAAAGGCTCACATCAGAAGTACATAAACTTTGTAAAAGCTCTTTACTCGAACACTACCAGTCGAGTCAGAGCTTATGGCGAACTTTCATCTGATTTGGCAACCTCAAGTGGAGTCCGTCAAGGCTGTCCACTTTCTCCATTTCTCTTTAACTTCATCATAGGTCTACTGATGGAAATAACATTCTCGTCAACTGAATTCTCGGGTATTGATCTCCTTCCAAGAATTCCATTTATCGACTCACAATATGCAGATTATATAGTCCTGTTTGGTGTAGACACTTACTGATTCCAAAAGAAATGAACGAGCGAACGTCGATCGTTCCACTGAGATAGGAGATGTAATCAGTAGTCCGTTTATATGAATTTAGGTATAGCTAAAATACAATGTGATACATATATATATATGTCTGTTACCAGTGTTTGACCAGCTGCAACGTTACCGTACAATTATGTAGATCTATGATACACAGTTGAACAAAATACAAATACAAGTATCCAAGCGAATGAAAAGTCATGAACATTGGACCCCATAGTTTTATAAATACCACAACAGTGATTGTTTTCACTTGATTTTCCTTAAGAGAAGTAGTAATCTTCTATAACATCAGAATCCTAATCATTTTGTCAGTCACATGAACAGATTATTACGAAGCGAAATATTTCATTCTAACTCAGATTTATATTACACCCACTAAACAGACAATACCATATGATCTCATTATGAGATGGAATGAGGTGATAATTGACAAGAAAGTATGATCATTAGTGTTTCCATAAACAAAAGAGGTCAACAGAAATATGTTTGTTAAGAAAAAGCACACGTTGTCTACACTGAAATTGAAGAAGGAGTAATCAATTCTTCTTTGAAAATGTTATCGGATGTAAGACAAATGTTGATTGAACGTGGTGTGATGTTGTATTCAATGCGGTGACTTGGAAAGAATTCCCGATTTACCATATCATATTCCCAAAATGCACACATTTCAGAGGTGTTTGTTTCATTGGCAAGAGTGACATATATAAGAAGGTCAGTATGTGCTGCTTCGATCTCCGGTGGAGTCAATAAAGCTGGTCTATTCAAGTGTTGCTTGAAGTATTCCACTCATCTATTCTTCTGACCTTCAATCTCATTGATTGACTTGAATACTTTGTGCTTTATCGGTCACCCTGGTTTACTATAATTTCCTGCCAGTTTGTTTGTCGTTTCGTATAGTTGATTCATGTTTCTTGCAGTTACGGCTTCATCTGCACTCGTAGCCGTTGGCATTTGGCAGCTTGATAAGATATCACAACCATTGCAATGAATACTTCATTTGTGAATTTCCATCATTTGTTTATCGCATTCTGTATGATCCTTCCAGACTACACTCTCTTCTTTCCCTTATATTCTCTTCAACTCGACCTTCCTAACGTTCTGCTGTCAGGTTTTCCACTTCCGATCGGTGTTACAAGTTAAGTTTCATTAACAACAGCTTGTGTGTTGAAACGTTTCCTATCATGTATATACAAGTGTATATTTAACATTAACGAATTGTATAACGTTAAAATGTAAGCATAATGTTGATCCGTGAGGCCAATAAAGAAAAAAGTAATCCAAATAAAGTAGGATTTCTTTTGTGTTATGAGTGCAATCTCAGGATTTGGTCTAGATATATACGATGGTTGCTACCTACCTATCAGGCCAGTGTATTCTTCTTCCTGATCTTGTTGTGGTTTCTGTTGCTGCTGAATTTTGATTTAAAGCATTGTTTATTGCAGGTAGATTGAATGGTGCTTACTCTGCTACGGGTTTAGACGGTTTTACAGTTGTCTGTTTTTCAGTGTTCTCGAAAAATGCTGGTTTTACTCTGTCGATGCTAACAGTATCATGTTTACCTGCTCTTTCCACTGTAACCGTTTTAGTGTCCTTTCGGATGATTTTAAAAGGGCCGTCATAAGGAGTCTGTAACAGCTGTCGTACTCTATCATTTCTGACGAATGAATGTGAGCATTTGTCTAATTCATTGTGTACGAATGATTTCACCTTTTCAGTTCGTGGTTTAATGGAGCTAATGGATTCCATCGGCTGTTTTAATTGTTGCACGTAGTTGGTTATATCTTCTGGAATTTCTGCACGATCAAAGAACTAACCAGGCAAATGCGACGTTGTTCCAGAAACCAACTTAGCTGCACAACAACCAATGTCTTATTTGGTGGTTAAGCGAATAACTAATGGTATCAAAGGAAGCTTGACATCCCATTTGTAATCAACTCGTGCGGCCGTCAAAAAGGCTTTTAACTGTTTGTGGAACCTTTCTATAATTCCGTTAGCAGGCGGATGTTAAGCAGTGGTTCCAATTCTCTTTATACAGAAAGTATCCGTAAGTTGCTGAAATAGTTTGCTTTCGAATTGCGTTCCACGGTCCGTCGTAATTGTTGAAAGGGACACCGAAGTTTGTAATCCAGTGTTTCACCAGCTTCTTCACCACTGTTGATGCTGACGTGTCTTTTAACGGAACAGCTAAGGGCCATCTCGTAAATCTAGCTACACATGTTAATATATGCGTGTAACCATTAGAAATTGGTAACGGTCCTACAATGTCGATATGAATGTGGTCGAACCTGGCGCTAGCGGCAGGTAAACTTCCTCTAGGGGGTATGATGTGCCTATGTACTCTTGACTTTTGGTATTCGAAGCATTTCTGCGACCGCTTTCGTACGTCTTTCTTTATATTTGGCCATACAAATCTATCTCAGACAAGCTTTACAGTGGCTTTTATACCTGGATGAGATATATTGTGTAATTTCTCAAAACTGTTTCGTCTCATACCGTAAGGTACAAAGGGGCGAGTTTACCTGTTGAGGTATCACAAATTAAGGTGCCCTTGTTGTTTATGGGGATGTTTTAAATTATTAATTTCGTTACCTTAGACTGCAACAGTTTTTGCAGCTCCGTATAGAGCTTTCGATGCTTTGCCATTTCTTGATAATTATATCAGCGATCGAGGAGGCATTGATATTTATTCTCGATAGTGCATCTGCTGCCTGATTTACATTGCCTTTAATATAGGATATATCAGCTGCAAATTGTGAAATGAATTCTAGTTGACGAATTTCGTTCGGACTGCATTTGTCATGATTGTGCATCGAGGACCTAGTTAGAGGTTTGTGATCAGTATATATCGTGAAAGAATTACCTTCTAACATAAAGCGGAACTGTTTTATGGCTAAGTAGATAGCCAACAGTTCTCTACCGAATGTGCTATATTTTGTTTGCGTTGTGTTTAGCTTCTTTGAGAAAAATGCAAGGCGTTGCCATTGTTGATTGACACGTTGCTGAAGTACAGCACCTACTGTTACATTTGAAGCGTCGGTCATTACTGCTAAAGGTGCATCAACCCTTCGTCGTACGGGTAATGCCTCTGTGCTAAAAGCGCTTTTCAACTGGTCAAATGCTTGAATTGCTTGTGGTATCATTGTCAATGATTCAGTTCGTCCCCTTAAGAGATCAGTTAGCGGTTTTGTTAACGCTGAACATTTGGGGATAAAACTCTGTAAATGTTGATCATCCCAAGGAAACGTCGTAGTTTCTTGAATGAATCAGGTCAAGGATAATTTCTGATAGCTTGTGTTTCCTCAGGAACTGGTTTAATGTCTTGATTATCAAGTACATGACCTAAAAACGTGAGGGATTGTTTTCCGAACTCACATTTGTCAGAGTTGACTGCCAACCCATACTCGTGTAGCTTCCCAAGAAGCATTTTCAGATGAGTTGGATGTTCATTTTCCTCTTTGCTTGGTAATAAGTCGGTAATCTATGTAAGCATATACAAACGGTAAGCCCCGTACCACTTATTTAATAAAACGCTGGAAACTTTGTGCAGCATTCCTCAGTACGAAAGGCATGCGGACGAATTCGTATAGTCAAAAGGGGGTATTATTGGCCGTTTAAAGAACATCGTCCGGATGAATTGGAATGTTATGGCAAGCGCGAACTAGATCAAATTTTGAAAAAATCGACACGTCAGGCATGCTATGAGTGAAGTCGTGCAAAAGTTGGAGAGGGTATAATTCTTCTAATTTCTCTACTCTGTTCGGCAAGGACAAGTTTTCTTATTTCTGACGTCAACCAATATTTTGTGGATTTGCAGAAAATCAGTGCCGATTATAGGAACGAGGACGTCTACTATGATGAAACTCCATGAAAAATTAGATTAAGGATCAAAATTAATTTAGTGAAAATTCCCATTTTGCCATTTGGTAAATAAAAAGGAACGAATTGAGCGAAGAAATTTCTTTTCAATTGAAAAGAAATTTCTTCGCTCAATTCGTTCCTTTTTATTTATCAAAATTAATTGTTCCCTCCTTTCGCCGTACGTCTTAATGTCAGACCTGTTTCCTGCTTGTAGTTTTAGCTTTGGGTCAGGTGTGTTTTTCTCGAGTGCACTGGGTGGCACAACACCAACACCTGCCCCATTGTCGACTAAAAACTTTTTGCAGGTTCTTATGTCTGTAACATATAAAAGACGACTGTCTTGAGGGTTGTGGTTAGTGACTGCAGTAGTCAATAACCGGCGGTTTTGACGTTCCTTTTTCTGTGTGCTTGCAAAGTTACAAAGCGGAGTACATTTTCTAGCTTGTTTGCCGTACGTCCGTTGTGTGATACCAACAAATGTTGTGACTGGTAGTGTTTGACCTTTACAAAGTTCCATATAGAAATGCCCTGACAGGTATATGTGTGACTACTACTACTACTACTGCGCGATCCTGGATGCACAGTTCTGGTGAGTCTCATACTAGGACATCTTTTGGTGATTTATAAATAAGCCAAGTCAGTTAATGAAGGTCAGAATGAGTTGTAGTAAGGTTTTTATCAATATAATAATATTAGCAGTAGTGAGAATACCAACGTTGTGTGAATTCAGTATGTAATAAATGCGGTATAGTGAAGTTAATTACCATGAAGAAGAATCAATCTGAATTGGGAAAGATGAATGGGAAATTTAAGAAAGATATAAACATAAAAAGAATTTGGATAAGAGGTTCTGAATGCGAATTACTACCGAGCTAATTAAGCTCTGTGTGTGAGTGAGATTAGTTACATCAATGTTTTGTTTGTGCATTCTTTAGAGTTCAGATAATTCTCGAAATACCTAATGGTCTAGTTCCAGATGGAAAGAGACTTAGATTCTCATCTCACAACCACCGTTGGTTCGCTAAAGTTAAGTGATACATATTTTTGATCATTGTCAACTAACACGATGCACACGTTTATAGGCTCTTCTCGATTGCTTTCAATTACTGAACATTGAACCTTATAATATGCAACGACAAGACTGGTGGTGACGCTACAATGAAAACATTGAACAAACATAACTCAGGTAATCAGTCAGTTCACACATGGGATTAATGAACTCATGGTTTACCTTTATTTGTAAAATAAATAAGATAATCCCTTGATTATTAAATGATGAGTGAATAGCAAAATATCACAATTTTCAATCTGTGTAGATTTCGATTATTCAAGACACAAATCAAACTAAATGAATAAGACGATGCCGCTTGAACCGAATGATATTGGGTTCGAGTCACAGAGGGAACATCAATTATGGAATGTAGGTATATCCAGCTGATGATTCACAAATAAGGAGAAAGCATGGATTCCATCGCTAGTCACCAGTCATCTTTCCTGATAAAGATTGAGATATATTGCTTGACAGCTAGATGAGAGCAGACGAACTTATTGTGTTCGAAATTCAAAATCAAACAGTCAAGAAGTACAAAAGTATCATTAAATTGTACAAACACCACAAACCTGTATATCGTATGCAGTGAGGAATAAGATTTGCAAAACAATTGCGAATTCTATCTGATTCATCGCATTGAATACAACATAACACCACGTTCTATCATCATTTCTCTTCACATCCGATAACATTTTCAAAGTAAAATTGATTACTCCTTCTTCAATCTCAGTGAAGACAACGTGTTTGTCTAATGAACAAAAACATATTTGTGTTGACCTCTTTCTTGTTTATGATTATACTTTGTTTATCATTGATCACCTCAGTCTATCTCATTAATCAAAAGATAATATGGTATTCTCTATTGTGTATCGTGGGTGTCATATCAATGTGCTGAGAAATCTATATTGTACCAAAATATAATATTGAATAAAGCCATTAATAATAATAATAATAATAATAATAATAATAATAATAATAAGTTATTTGTTTATTTGACTGACATCAAAGATGAGTGAAATTCTCATTTTACATATAATTACTACTTTGCTAAAAAGAAGATGAAGTGAAAGCAAATGTTCTGGTTGTCAATTCATAAATGGTCTTACTCCGGCTAAGAATAAACACTGTAACAATTCACCAATTAATTTCAAATGATTGGCGTGGTGGTCGTTTTTTCTCATAAAATCATCCGGTTTCACGTCCATGATTTATCAATCTGATTTGATTCTTTAAAACTCGACTAGTTGTCACGTTCTGTGTATCATTGGTGAAGGAGACTGCGGAGAATAATCCTGATTAAATAATCGACAGCATGTTCCGTGTATCTTTTTATACCAATCACTGTGACGGATACACTCATCATTAGCGCATATTCTGGATAAACACATTTGACTATTACCTAAGTGTATGCTTTCATTGAACATAAATTTAGGTTGGATATCATAGTTTAATGGAAGTTTAATGGAATCCTGTGTGTGGCTGGATTCGTTAAGATACATCAATTGATATTGAAACATTTCTTCATTTTTCTACAGAACTAAAATAGATTCTTATTACATTCTTTTTACAGATGTTGGGGACGTTAGATCTTCAGAACTCATTTGGAAAACGACGTCATTGTGTAATTTTATTTAGAAAATTTTAATTTTTTTTTTCTTTTCGCGTTCTTATCACCTTCCTGTGGTATTTCCCAGTTAAGAAATATTTTAAATGCTGTTGGTTCATTGTGTCTTTTGGTATGCTATTTGAAAAGACTCCACGAGGACGGTTTTGTGCTTTATATATATGTTTTGATTTATGATTATTGTTGTCGCTGGTTTCTACCTGTTTGCAAAATGTACTTCCCCATTACAAGCTCCAACTCCTTCCTGTAGTTAGCGGGGCTGATGCGCATTAGAATATCTAGCTTATTGGTCTTTGGTCACTGAGTCTTTGTTCTCGTTCGCAGATTAAGTGAACTCGTAATAACTTGAGACCTAGCAACAGGCGACTGCACTTAACATGAAACTGCTTTGACTAGACAATTCACATAAATTTTTATTCAAGTCATTCCTGTAGCTCATCTAAGGTTATTGCCGATCATATATCCAAGTTAATGAGGAGGGTTTAATATAAAGTCAGCATTTCAATAGTTCAGAATGCAACGTCGCTAAAAATATGCCAAACACACAAAATGAATTATAGCATACCAACTCTGACCTGGAATTTAAAGGATGTTCTTACACCACAACTCTGCTGCTTCTTGGCGAAGCCGAGAATATCCCTTCGTCAAAATATCAACTCCCTTCTAATAAACTGAACAACACTTAATTAATGTAGATACATGGAACGTCCGGACAATATGTGAGACCAAGAGGACCATTCAATCATTATGTAAATGAGGAAGTGCAACTTGACAGTGCTCGATATCAGTAAAACCCATTGGACACAACTTAGTCAAATGGTTTGGATTCGATGGAGATGCTCAGATGCCGTGTAAAAAAGCACCTAACGCACCTGTAAGATGCGATCCTCCTGAACCTAGAAACATCATAACATCCTTCAAAACAAAGAAGGAGGGAATCCTAATGAATGCTACTAAATGTTATGCACACAGCAATGATAGCAACGACAACGAAAAGATCGAGTTTTCGATGTTGTGCAATCGATCATGGAGAAGTTCTCGTCAAAAGAACTGATCATCCTCATTGGAGGTCTTAACGCCAAAGTAGGAATGCATAACACCGGCTTTGAAAATATCATGGAACGACATTGACTGACCGGGATAAAGAAATGGAAATGGAGAGAGATTTGTAAATCTATGTGCATTCAACAAATTGACTATAGGCATCAAAACATCACCCCACAAATGTATTCACAAAGCTACACGGGTCTCACCGGATCACACTGCATAGAATCAGACAGATCAAGATAATAAAAAACGGTGAGAAGCCAACCAAAAACAGCCAAACAATAACATAGGAAATGAATGACCGACCTGAATAAACGGAAGCAAAATAGAAAGTGAAGAGGAGCATTACAGCCAACAAGCAAGCGTACGTGGAGCACCCAGCAACGAGAGCAGATGAAGCCGTAACTGCAAGAAACATGAATCAACTATACAAAACGACGAACAAACTGGCAGGAAAATATAGGAAACCAAGGTGACCGGTAAAGAACAAAGTATTCAAGTCAATCAAGGAGATTGAAGATCAGAGGAATATATGGGTGGAATACTTCAAGCAACTCTTGAATAGACGAGCTTTATCGAGTCCACCGGAGATCGAAGCAGCACACACTGACCTTCTTATATATGTCACTCTTGATAATGAAACAAACACCTCTGAACTGTGTGCATTTAGGAATATGTATCGATCCCGTCATTTAACGTTAAGCAATGCAACTACGTATTGATTGCATTTTCATAAGACGTATTTATGAAAAGGAATATATCGATGTATAGGCGATGGAGAAAAGTAGACAGAGAGAAACCACAACAATAAAAAAATGCTGTAATTTCATTAAATAGAACAGACTTACTCCATTAAACACCACAATATCGATTGTACGTAAAATGTCATAGTTTATTATTATGGTTAGTAATGTTACATTTTAATCAAAAATGTTTACAGGATGAAGTAGATGTACTGAGAATAAGGATAATATCAATCCACAACAATAATTATAATCCATCACAATAATGAAAGTTGAGAGGTAGTACGTTGATTTTAGAAATAAGATTGTACCGTGGAGATGGGCGATACATTATCATTTACGCTTCATTAATTCTGTCGTTCAAAATTTTCGTGATAAATCTTAGGGCTTCTTATGTCACTGGTCTAGATGACTGTTATTAAATGACTTTCTGAGATGCATGAATTTCAGAAATGCAATACGAACTATTGACTACAGTCTAACATTGTACAGTACACTTCTCTATGTCACAATTACGTAAAGTGTATTCAAGAAGAAATACAAATGCAGTTGAATGACAACGAGCGAATACACAGCTAAAATAAGAGTCGAATGTAATGAAAAGATTCAGACACATAGATGTATATACATAGAAAACTGAACTAGTCATTGAACGATTAAATCAGCTAACATTTAGGCTTGTAAGGGGGAAACGTTTATTGACTTTACCATCTGATCAAATAAAAATGTTCATGCAGATATGATCATAGTGATAGAAAGATCTAAACAAATTTTTTATGCCGTTTCTAAGATACTGTATGTTATCCAAAAGAGAGCAATAACAATGATTGGTGCAAAATAATAAGTGAATTCGTTCGATTTCGTTAGGTTCTCATCAGTTTCTTACAACATGACATATCTAAAATTCAACATGATTACAGATATTGACATATTTATGCATAAGAAGGTGATGAACGATGAATAAATGTGTATTATGGTGTAGCAAATATCCCGATAGAGTTGACACGGAAAGTTCCAGAACATTGAAATAGTGATTAGAACTCATGAAAATAGATTAATGGTAATAAAGGAAGTATGAATTAAGATCAATCGCTTATGTATGATGTAATTTAAACTTCAAAAAGAGTTGGAATAATGACGCAATAAATCAATAAAAGTGGGAGGGGTTTTGTTACCAGGGTAAAAAATGATTTATAACTGTCTATTTTTGTATACATAGATCTGGTTTTAGACGTTTGATTGCTATTGCTTTGGCGAATTTCAGAATGTTTGAGCTTGATTGTTTATTAATTACTTTGAAACACTTCAGTGTATCGACTTCGTATCCTGTGTCAAGGGGATGTCTTGCGATGGCAATTTGATGTTAAAATTTTCGGAATATGCTTGTTGAATCTTACGTAGGCTCTCCTTTCTGTTCTTGCAATTTAACTGCTTGGAAAGATACATGTAAATATTATTCAGAAGTAAAGTTCAAATTTAACGTTCCTCAATTCATACTTTAATGGAGTTATGTTATATTCATATTAAAATGAGGAGTTTGTCTGAAGATAGTTCAATGCACTGACAGCCTTGACAGACAACACTTGATGCTGCAAAATCAGTTGACAGTTCACCATAAACTCAGACTCGATTAGTAGTTTTCCAGTGAAAAGCCTTCACAAGGTTTATGTACTTCTGAGGTGCGCCTTTCAATGACAGATTGTCACAGAACCTCTCGGACCACAGGGTCAAATGCTGCTTTTTAATCAAGAAAAACTAACATCTGTTCACATTCATATATATATATATATACCACTCTAATCCCTAGGAAATTGATCCATTTCACAGACAATCAAATAAAAATTTCTTTTAGGTCATTGCTGATTGCCATCGGTTGACCTTCGCTTTAGACTACTTCTGATTAGCTCTCCATATCAACATATCCCTTATTCATTGTAGTTATCTAATTATGAAAATATGTCACTAACTTTTTTATGTCATTCTAGGATTACGCTTAAGTGATCTGTTTGTAAGTGAATAATTTCCATAAAATACTTTTAGAATTACTGCACAACCTTCCTAATTGGTTCGACATTCACTTAATATGATGTGTATGGATTTAACATTTAACAATGTCAAATAGTAGGGGACAATCAGTTAGGGGCCGTCATTATCCAAATACTTATAATATGTAGAACTTGACAGTATGGCATATCTGTAATCTTGAGGGGATTGATATAATACGAGTATCACGAAAACGCGTTGTGAAATATATAGAGGAACGTAATCTGGTCTAATCGAATAAATTTAGGGTTCATCAGTCCGTTGTTCCAACCGAATATTGGTTGTTGGGTCGCTACAATAAGTCTTTTTGTGTTTCCTGTTTTGTCACACTTCTGGTAGATTTACATACACTGAATGAGTTACATATCGTAAAACATGCAGTTTTTCTCTCAGGTGATGTGAAATTAAACTAATATGGTGAATGTGACAATGCTTGAATCCATGTATCAATCTGAGCTAGGCCACCATAAAAAACCTGAACTCACCAGAATTCCGTTTTGTATAATCCTCATGAATGCAAATGTTAAAAATACTGCAATTTCAACGAATATCCACTCTGACAATATTCTAATGCTGTTTAAAGTTTTGTTAGGAAGAGCAATGTCTCATATATATTTCATCATTCAATGCCAGAATTAACGCTAACACTTGATTGAGAGAAAATCTGAATGACGTTAAATCATCTTCTATAACTTCGTAAATTTTCCGGCTACATAAATTTTGTTTTATTAAGTTGAATGATACTTCATTTGAATGAACGTACAAATTCTTGGAAGTGTTAGATGCAAATTAAGGTTTAAATTACAATAAATAAGGAAGTTGATAAAGGATGCCCAATAAATTACCAATCGCAACATATCAATGTTATTCCAGCTTGTCTGGATAGATCACGCACAGATTCATTCAAAAGATACTATTTGATTGCTTTATAATACAGAGTGTTTCGAATTCTGGAGGTGTGCTTCAATTCACACTTAAAAATGTACAATTCTAGTCAATACAAGCAACACAATAAAATGGAGGAACAAACCAGTGTGTCTGCTGCCAAGACTTAGTATCAAGTAAACACAACATAAATGTAGTTCACGAAGAAGCACGGAAACTTAGTGAAGACGTAAGAAAAATAAAAACTATAATGACTATATGACCAACTCAAATGGAATCAAAAGGAATAACAAAATGTACAACTACGCGAACAACAATAGGAACAAACAACAAGTGTATACATTGATGGATTTTCACACACACACACAACCTCCAAAATGGATCTTACAAGAGGTATTAATTCATTCAAAACATCGATGACAAGTGTTGTGTAAACGAATTATCCTATGTGAAATCAATGTTGAATAAAGAGAAGAGTGAAAAGCAAAAGTAATCAGTTTAGAAA